GCCGGAAAAGATGGCGCCCGCATCAATTCCGTTTCCTGGAAGTTGGATTGACCACCTTGAGGATATTCGGCAGAGGGGCTTAGCCTAAAGGGCAATCGACATCTTTACTATTCCTGCCATGTCCGCCGATCCCGAACGACTCTTTAGTAGGTATGTGGAATAACTTAAACTCTGTTCCCCTATCTAACCTTCTCCAACTTCGCCTATTGCCTTCATACATTTCTAATTATTCACACAGTTCCAAACTACTTCTAACTAATAGGTGGAATTGCTTGGGGGATGACATTATTGAGGCATCTGAGTGTCTCAAATCCTGGTTGAGTTCTGGAATTGTGTATGGTAGGGAGAATTCAGATGTGAATCGCATGGAGAGTACACTTAAGGCTTTGGAGCTACACTCATTGGATCTTCGCTCTTCTTCTGTCATTTAATGTCTTCCTCTTTCAAGTTTCTTTCAAGTTCATCTCTTTTTTTCTTCTTTCATGTCTTAGTTACTAGCTAGTCTTTGTTCATGATACTATACTGGCCAAACACAAGTCCAAAAATCAATCCTTCAGGAAGCCCACTGCTAGCTAGAATACAAGCTTTTCCTGATAGCTTTGTATTTCGACAAGTGGGTTACATATCACGAATACAAACACTTAGGATGTCCAAGTTCAATACAAGCACCTTATATCTCAATCTTAGTTCTAATATTTTCTAATATATATTCTAAGCATGGCAACTATTACACTCTTGGTTAAGTTAATACTTGAAAAGGAAATGAGACTCGGGAGGGTGAGACATTTCCGTGGGGGACGCCCGGGGGAATGGTCCTTAACTTACAATTGTCGGGCAAGTTTAGGAAAAGACAGGACGGACGGACTGCCCCGTTGTGAACACTGACTAGTGGCAGTGCAGAAATATCCCACTGTGTCGGGTGCCTACTTAGTACTCACCGAGTGATAACCCATGAACCACCCTCATATTCGCCCATAACTGCCACAAGCGCCTAGTTCCCCACAGACTTCCTATATTACCTATCCCCCAACCCTACCCTCCTGCAAGGTCAGGCCGCAGAATTTCTTAAATTCACCGCCGGGTCGCCAGCGGAACCCGACCCACAAACCCACAATAAGACTTATCAACCTGCACGGGTTGGGGGAGCGTCGCACGCCTTCATAGTCGACAAGATCAATCACATCCAGCGGTCTGACCCCATGCCGCACCAGAGAAATTTCAACCCTTCAAAGGGGCTTCTGGTCTCCGAATCCGATGAGTACAGGGCGGGCGGGGATTCCAGATCTCAAGGGACTGTCATGTCTTCCCTCATCCGCTTCCAGATTGGGCCCCACTTTCCTGGCGGTGGGATCCAACACCTGTCCTACCTCCCAGGCCTCAGCCTCCGTAACTCTGTAGTCGTTGATTCTCAGGCTACCACCAGGACCCAGCACGCGCCCATTGCTCTGTAGGCCCCCCACATTGGGAAAGCAAGCCGTGTCTTATGGATAAAATGAGCGCCAAAGAATTTCTCAGGCAAACCGCATGTGAGCCCTGACTCCCGTGTCAGTCTACATTATTTCGCCTTGTATTACCCTGCTGAAACATTACCGCGGCCTCTCATGACCTTCTTTGCCTCGCCAAGCACAAAAACAATACTCAAGTACACCATGTGAGCTAATATAGCACGGAACGAGTGGTATCATACTAGGCTAACTTATCTGTATCTGTGACTACGATACGGTACTTGACCCCTTCCCCATCGCAACGCCCCGACAACCCTCCAGCACCGCGCATATAGGATGGTTCCAAGAATAAACACCCAGTCCACAAGTACTTGTACCATCCCTAGCATCCAACCCCATCCAACCCAGTTATCCGAATTCCAAAAGAAACCCAAACGCCCAACCAAGCCATGGGTAATGATACAGTGGTAGGCACGTAACCTAAAAGAAAAACAACTTGACAGCGGCATAGCAAAAAACCATTACAAACAATATCTCAAGTTTATAGGCCCAAATAAATGCCGTCACCCTATTCTCACGAAGAGTGAGTATTCCCGTGCTTCTTGGGGAAGGAGTCATAGCTGCGCAAATGTGATCAAGCTCAAGGATGAGCAGCTCGTTGTTTTTGAAAATTACTTTGGATTCTTCGATTATTTCTTTTCCCGACTTTAGCAAGACTTCGCGGCGAGTGAGAATGGGCGGGGTAACTAACCGGTTCTCTCCTCGTCCGTCAAGGTTGATTGAATATCTTCCAGAGCACCCTTAAACCCTGATCTCAATGAGTCCTCCTTCCCCTTGGGAACCTCAAAACTAAACAGGTTCATCCCAGCAGCTTTACACTCCTCCGCAGTCATATTTCCCCGTCCAGGGAAAAAACCCCTAGCTTGAGAAATCTGGTGCTTAAGTATTTTGCCACCGGCAAACAAAGCCATATAGTAATTATGCGTATAAGCAATCACCAAGTGCGGTTTCTGGGAGAGGACTCGCTTGATGTGCGAAACGTACTCCGCGCGGACGGGCCACTTGAGCAGGGCCATATGGTGGGTTTCCTGGTCGGAAAAGTATTCCAGGTCCTTGAACAGCTGGGGTGCCCGCAACAGAGGCAGCGAGTAGAGATTCTGCAACGCGGTCTTGATTCTGGGATCAGTGGTAGCTTCGGACGAGATTGCGGCCATCCAGGCGTCTTCAAAAGCCCGGTAGACTTGGCAGAATGAGAAGATGCCCTCACGGTAGAGCTTGTAGTCTGTATAGCATCAGCACACGCACTGCATCCGGTGGAGTGCTTGTCAGGTATGATAATTGTGGTTGGAAAAGAAGGGCGAAAAAAAAGAAAGACAGACCTCTAAGACCTAAAGAAAGTCTATTCATGATCATAACATTAACCCTATCATGTCCCTCACTGCACCCTCCAGTTAGAAAATCATTACATGATCAGAATACATTTCGAGAACAAAGAAACAAACCGTGTGGCTGCGTTGATCTGCTGGGATAAGCTCCATAATCCTTGAGATTCCTTCTCCGCCCGAGTGTGGAAATGTTGATGGTGGGCCATGGTAGCGGGTTATTCAAAAATGAATGGAAGCTTCGGAAAGTAGATTTGACTTCGTTGTAATGTAGATCTTCCTTCTAGAGATGCGGTACTGTGCGTTAGGGCTTGCGGGAGAGTGGTGGTCGCGGGGAAGAGAGAGGGGCACAACGTGTATTTCTAATCGTTGCAGATAAGAGAAGGACGCAGTGAGTGAGTGAGTGAGTGAGTGAGTGAATGAATGTGAAGTAATAAGAGGGCGGGGGGTAAGGGAAGGTGATGGATGAGAGTGGGGGGGGTGGGGGGGTGGACAAGTATGATATGGTCTGGAAAGAAGGAAGGAGGCACGAGGTGTGATACCAGCCGGGAGACATCCGGGCCAAAGGGTATCAGTCTCCCTGCACAGCACGGTACTGTACTGCAACGTCCCCGTAGCATATGATAGCATGACCGTGCTGCATCATACTTCGCCGATCAAGTTGGCCTAGCCTGCTTCGTCTTCGTACGAGAGTACAAGTATCAGGGAGCTTTCTCCTCGACGGAAACGTTACCCTGCAGGATCACATCAACCCCACCATCATCTCACAGCACGTGGCCAAGGAATGATACCGAGACCAAAAAATATGGCATTTGGCTATCCCCGGAGCAGGGGTTAATCTCTACTCGAGTACCGGTAGTCTACACACCTTAGGTTTAGTTTCACGGGAATGGCCGATTCTTTGTACTCGTGCTAGTACAAGTACAAGTACGAGTACACGATATTGTATCATACAGGTTATGGTGTCTCAACGACCGGCAATAACACAAGTAGCCCGTTTGAGGACTCAGCGGGGCCTGGAAAATATTGGCGGATATATTTGGTTAGATCGTCCTGAACCCACACGCCAAACCTCGCCGAGGGTGCCTTGCTTTGCCCTCTCCTGATCAAGAATTATACAAGTACTTCGTATAGTGCCAAGCTAAAAGTTAATGAATAGTTATTTGAGGTTAATCTGCAAAAATATCCCTGTCTTCTGCGAAAACATATACAGCACTTACCGTAGTAGCGTAAGCCTTGTACTGTACAGTCGTGTCCGTAAAGTCTTCATACCCCGGCGGCACAACCACACAACCACAACACCTCTCCATGGAAAATTGAAAAAAAAATTCAAACAACTCAATTAAGAAAAGTATATGAATAGAACTAATAAGCCTTAAGAAAATATTATTACCACTTTGTATGACCACCATCTGCATCTAGTACAGCCTGTATTCTCTCAGGCATCCTATCTATCCACCCATCCAACTTCTCTTGGGAAATTAAATCCCATTCCTCCTTTGCTGCCTAAAATAATTCAGCAGCACTGTGAGGCCTCCTATCCAACCTGGAGAATCGATTTCTGAGGGCTCTTTTGAGCAGAGCCCAAGTGTTCCCAATAGGATTGAGATCTGGTGAGGTGGGTGGCCAAGGCAATTTTTGATAACCACAGTCTGACTGCAATTTTCTGTTTTCCTTTGTCTGCTGCTAGGTAGATGTTGTCAGAAGGTCTATCCAGACCTTCTATAAAAGAGATGAGGTATGGCTGGTGGATTTCAGTTGCATAGTGGTGGGAATTGAGGCCAAGTCTGTCTCCTTTGCTGGTCCTTTCTTCCTCACCCCTCTTCCTCACAAGAATTAACTCAGTCCTGCCACCCTTCATGATTGCAGCATAGACCCCAATACTAGTCCTCCCAGACTTAAAGCTAGGCTTCAAGTTTTTTTCTTCCAGCTCTTCACCAGGTCTAACTCTGACCTTCCTGCCAGTAGGATTTGGATCATAGATAATGGTGGCTTCATCTACAAAAACAACCCAATTCCATGCACCCCTCCAATTCCTCCTTCTCCTAGCAAACTCCTTTCTCTTCTCCTTCTGTCCTTTCCTCCAAAAAGGTATTTTTCTAGGTATCAGAAGCTTAAAATCAGCTTCTGATATGATCTTATCCACAGATGTCTTTTCCAGACCAATATTCACTTTTTTGGTAATGTCGCATAACGCTAAATGAGGCTCAGCATTGATAATGGACTCCACTATCTTTCTTCTTTGAGGGGTAATTGTTGTTGGTCTTCCAGATCTGGGGGCATCATCGGTATTTCCATCTCTTGATTCAGCTCTTTTGACTACTGATTGAACAGTTGCCTTAGAGATACCCATAACATTAGAAATTTTATTATACCCCATATCAGTATGTTTATACAGGGCATAGATTTCCTTATTTTGGTCTTCTCTAGCTCTTCGGGTATGTGGAGTGGTCATGGTAGAGGCAGTTGTTGTGGGAATGGAGGACAACACGGTTGCCGCTCCAGGGTATGAAGACTTTACAGACACGACTGTACCAGTATGATACCTCACTCTACTAGTATCTTATCATCAGCCTATGCCTTAACCTGTACTCTCGTTCATGCACTTTTAGCGTCACGTTAAAGTAGAGATTATCGATTGAATGGATAAAAGAAGTAGCAATTAGAGGTAAGATTCAACACAAGAGGAGTAAAGATCAATGGTGAGATAAGTGCGACAATGCAAGTAAGAAAAATAAATAGAGGACTGGATAGGCAGAAGAAACTTATTCAAGTGAATGAAAGAGACTAAAACAATGGGTTTCGTAAAGTGGAACATTGTAAGTATCGATTTTACAATAACTACAGGTAAAATAAGTTCTGTGAATCTGAACATGGGAGCTATCAGGTGAATAGTGAAAGCTATCATAGTTGGAAGAATGGGGGAGGAGCTAGGTAACTGGGTCTTTCCACAAGGGAGGAAGGCAGGTAGCCTTTGTAATGTAGCCCATTGCAAGGCTAGCACAGGTATTCCCTTTGGGGATATCAGCTGAGAGAAGAGTAAACTGTAATTGATGTTTATAAGTAGATAAGTAGGATGTAGCAGTTATATACTTTTCGTAAAGTTGTGTCTGAAAGGTTTTCATAACCTTGCTTAGTAATGGTGCAACGAACAATCACTCTTGTATTTCCACCCTACCATGGTACCACCACACTCCAGAAGAGCCAAGAAGACAGAAATAAGGAAATTTATGTTCTACATAAACATACTGATATGGCGTATCGTAAAATTTCCAAGCTTCTGAAACTCTCCGAGCTAACTGTTCAAAGTATTATCAAAAATGTAAAATCAAGAGATGGAAACACTCATGAGACTCCCAGATCTGGCAGACCAACCAAGATTACTGATGCCAAAAGGCAGATAGTCCTTGGTATTCTTGATGCTGAGCCTCTTTTACTACTCAGAGACATTACCCAAAAAGCCATTATGGGACTTGGAAAAGACACTATTAATAGGATATCTGCAGAAGCTAGTTTTAAGCTTAAGATTCCCAGAAAAAAGCCATTTTGGAGGAAAGAACAAAAGGAAAAGAGAAAGAAGTTTGCTAGAGTGAGGAGGAATTGGACAAGAGTTTAGAAATAGATTGTTTTTGTGGATAAAGTCACAATTAAATATGATTCAAATCCAGTTAGGAGAAAGGTCAGACTCAAACCAGGTCAAGAGTTGGAAGAGAAGAACTTAAAGCCCAGCTTTAAGTCAGAATGCACCAAAATAGGAGTATATGTCATAATGATACATGGACGATGGACAGAATTGATTCTTGTCAGAAAGAGGACTGAGAGGATATTAGGCAGAGACAACTTGATAGACTTCAGAGTTGTTTAAGACTACCAAGATTTGTTTCTGTAGATGGAGGTTGTCTAGAAAGTCTCGGATTTTACTCCTTTTATTTATGACAACTGAGAGGAGAGTAAAGTAGGTAAAGTAGAATAGAATCATGAAGACAAGGTTTTATTATTAAGGTCTCTTCTCCATTGCTTGATGATGTCTAAAAGCTTGAGACGTACTTTGATATTTATATTGCACGTCTGAGTGTTCACGGACTAAATTTATCTATTATACAACTATGTACTTCTCTGATTATAAGTTGCAATGTCAGGTATTCTTCAAAGATGTGAACACCTAGAGACCCTGAAAACCACTACAACCTATTTAGTAATTATGATATTGCTAACTAGGAGCCCTGCTGTTCCCAATAGTATTTATCCAATCATCAGAGTCTTTAGAGTTATGGCTTAGTTTTCAAGTCTAACTCAGTTGGCCCTAATTGTCTCCATCATTGATGAAATGATCAGTTTCATCTGCGGATTGTATCTGTAGAGGTAGTCGTAATTGCAACCTTCCTAGGTTGCCTGACTTCAAACCTCTAAAACTCTATATCCAACCCACAGATATCTTCAGGAGGACTTTCTACTAATTCGTAGGAGGCTATTCTACCAGATTGATGGATAATCCCTTGGTTGGCAACCCTTGAGTGCATTGGGTAATAGGGTTTCAATTGCTGTAATAGTATTGGAAATCCTTTCTGCAACCACAGTGCATTCTTGGACTTTGTTGTAACACTCTGTAAAGTCTATTGGCTTCTGTAGTAGTATTCCTGAGAGTTCTAGTCTCTTCTGGTTATTGTAGTATGAGTGTGAATGTATTGGTTTTTTATTAAGATCCTTTACCATTTGATACCATATCTTCATGTGAAAATGTCACTTTACTTACAGCTTATACCAAAGATGTCACATCTTTGAAGCCTAGTAACCTTCTGTATAGTTGACAGATTTACTCCATTCCACTTCTCAGACCTAGCCAAAGGTCCCCTCTAATATATTCTGTGAACTAGATCCGGTCGGACAGATGGAAGTGACATATACTGTATTACTCTTACACCTTCAATTCTGTGACATTATAGTCACGGGATGCGACAGAGATTGATATATATCATGATGTGCGGGCCCTGTCAGGGCATTAGAGGAGAGTATTGGAAACTAGAGATTCCAATTCCGAGTAGAGTTAACCCACTTAGGGTAGTTCCTAGATATTGAATTTCAGTATTCCTAACAGGAGAAGAGGACAAGTAAGAGAGATAGACTTCAGTTCAATGCCCACCAATATGTAATGGAAGTCCATCAACCCTCCCTTATACTCTTTATAAAGAGTATAGACAGAGCCCCTGAAACCATCTACATGGCTGCTGATAATGCATCATGGTATAATAGTGCAGAAAACAAATAATAATAACAGGATTGTAGATATTAAAGATTATATTAGCTCCCTAACTCACCAGATCTTAATCCTATTGAAAATACTTGAGAAATTCTCCAAAAAGCCATTAGAAAGCGATTCTCTAAGGTTGAAAGAAAGCCCTATAGTGTTTCAGAATTATTTCAGGCAGGAAAGGAGGAGTGGAAAATGATTCTGGAAGAGACATTTGATGGATG